AAAAAAAAAAAAAAGAGTATAGATTATTAAAATAGGATTACAAAACATACATGATATAGTTCTCTGAAGAAAAAAGAATTACAATAAACGTCAAATAAAAAAAGTACAAATTATGTTATTAATCTAAAACAACCAACACAATTCTTGATTCCACATAAGCATCGTCCACGTATGATACTCCCAATGAACAAGTGCTCCACATAATTGAAGATAGAGGAACCAAACCTAATGGACGAACCAAATAGTGTTGCTAGACTTACAAGGGATAAGACTTACAAGTTGTACTGTGCAGAAGTTAAGGGTACCATATACATTCAAAAACAAATGACAAACTCATCCAAACTTATATTTAAGGAGGGGGGAGGGGGGTAATAAGAGCGACAACCTTCAAGCATTGATATATAGTTAGGAAACATATCTAAGACAATATACAAGAATTTGTTGTCGTTGTCAATGCTAACATCAAATCATTCCTAAAATCAATAGGATTATTTATCGGCCTAATGACTGAAATTGACAACGAAATTTATAATTTATCGGTCAATAGAATTCGTTGTCTTTGACACATTTTATGATGAAAAAATAAACTATGTATATACTAAGATTAAAGTCCCCACTACAACTCGTTTTATCATCATGCATGGAGACCTAAACTAACATTAGGAATTTTGCTCCAAGGACCAAATGATAAATATAACACCACGAGAATTTAAGGTGGGATAAAATTCCAGTGCGTGGTTTCTTAAAACAACCAAACTCTAACATATAAATAAAAAAATTGGCTTGTGAAAACTGAAAACTATTAGAAATTTAGAAGATGATCTTAAAAAAAATGTTAGGCGCTAGGACGAAGTAGCAAAAAGAACTATTGCTGTTCTTGTGTACGAAACGCTTAGGTGCGAAATCTGTGCGACAAACTAATTTTCAGGTCCAAAAGTGGTTGTTGGGCTAAAACCAAACAGGCTCAAAATTGGGTACCTGCTGCGCCCCCCCACCATAAACCTGCTACTGTTGTGTGTTTGTAGGTCCAGTTGACTGCTGGAACAGGTTATAAAGTAGCAAAAAAATTTTAAGTGGTCAGGATTGCTTGTCGCACCTAAGCATTTCGTATCACACCTAAGCATTTCGTATTGAAGAATCTGTTAAAGAACTAAGTCTAAGTTTGTTGGAAAATAATAAGTTTTAGAAGCCTACTTACCCCTCTTGAAATCTCGAACAAAAGCTAGTTTGTAATTACAACCATTAATTTTTGTTCAATCAGTAAAGAGGCACCAAAAGATGATAAAAGGTCCCCAGAACACTGTAACAAACTCGCCGGAATCATTAACATGTTGTAAGAACATGTCTATCAATTAAATTAATAATAAAAAAATGATTGCCTAACTTAACCAAAA